CAGAGATGTATGTGGTTGAATTTCATATGACCTATATGAATCTGTCATCAGGGTAGTATAGCATAAAAGTTAGGAAAACTGGAGTCAGAATGCCTGGGTTTAAATCCTACCTTCTGCACTCCATGTGGAGTGTCTGTAATGTAACTGTAGAGAAGTTATTTAATCTCATAGCTTTATCCTCATCTTTTAATGGAGATAATAATAGCATTTACCTACAAGGGTTGTTGAGAAGTTTCCATTAGCACGGCACATGTGTCAGCCAGCTTTCACTAGGTTATGCTACAATAACAGTGGATCTAAAACATGAATGGCTTACAACTACAGAGATTTATTTCTCATTCATATTCGTGTTCATCATGGACTTTTAAATCCTGTTCACAAAAGTAAATTATAGTTTGGGATTCTGCCAAATTATCGATATTATCCTCTGCTATAGCTGAGAAGATTAATATTTATGTGTTTGTCATATTGTCCTTTCAAGAGCAAATTAAGGTGCTGAATGCTTCCTTTAAACTTTGCAGGGAAGGTGGTCTATGGAGAACCCATAGCAGCAAGTCTCGGCACGGACGGCACTCACTACTGGCATAAAGACTGGAGCCATGCAGCCCACCACGTCATGGGTCCACCCCTGAGACCAGACCCTTCAACACCCAACTTTCTCATGAATCTACTGGCTAAGTAATCATTTAGCACATGGCTGGGAAGTGTTTTGCCAAAAGAAGGTGTTTTATGAGTCTCAGGTTTGGGTGGAAGAGAGCTTGTCCAACCATGTGGGCCTTCCTTTGACCTCCCAGTATTTTGTTCTACTTGATCTGACAGGCCCTGAGCAAAAAAACCTTCGCTTAATTATGGTATGTTGTCAAAACCTCTCCTGGACACAGAGAAATCAGATCATTTTTATTGAAATTTTATTCTCTTGAATTTTTTCCATTTCTTGTTGCCCAGAGCCAGGACTCCTTTATTATTCCTTATTTTTATCAGAATATTCTTGATTTTTTTTCTATGCTGATATAATCCAGGAACCAGATTGTTGTGTAGGTAACTCTGTTACTTTAGGGGAGGATATGATCATTTTTCTTGAGAATTACACCATTTGTGGACACCCTGATACTCCCCACCCACAGATACTCAGATTTAAGCTAGTAGAGAGTTTTCCATAATAGACGGTACACCGTACACTTGTCCCTCCTTTCAGCTTTTTCCTTCACGCTTCTACATCCCTAAGATTATTCACAAGTCAAAGCAGTCCTGTCCCTGATGACATCAGCATCCTCAGCCAATCTCATTCCTCTGTTCGTCATAGCATGCCTGGCTGGCCAGGGCTTGTCCTGGAGGACCTGCCTTCATTCACAGAGATCACCATGGTGATATCTTTCAGACTATCCATGATTGTTGGTTCATGTAAATTTCAGTTGCATGAACTACTCTGCTCACAAGGAATTTTCACTTACATTATTGCTAGCAATAGAGATATAGTTATCAAGTACATTTAACTGTCAATGTCTAGATGAAAAACGAAGTCTGGGATAAGCTCGTAATCAAAGAGCCAGTAAGTGATGGAGCTGAGCCTAGAACCCAGGCCTTCTAACCCATCATCCTGAGTCACGCTTCTAGTAAGTGTGTTCTCTAGACATGCTTCCTAGAATAAAGACAGGAGAGGGGTGAAATATGCACTTGAAAAAGCTACTCATTCACCCTTGTATTGCTCTGACTTTCAGTTGAGATTGGGAAATGTTCTGATGGTTTCCTCCTACCATATT